GTTCTTTTTTTTTTTTCTGCTAAAAGCTTTATTGTTTCATTTGGTCCAATGCATGGGAGAGGGCTTCAGGGAGGTTAAAGAATTGGGGAGAGACTGAGGTAAAAGCCAGATACCAGGGCATGCAGAGGGGAACCCCCAAAGACCTCTGGGCTCCTCAGTTTTGCTTGAGGGTGAGCCTCTCAAAGAAATACTTGCCCAGCCCAGCCTGGGGACCACCTGCAGAGGTTAGGGGGGGGTGGGGGCCCATCTCCAGGAAGTGGTTCTGCAGGAAGTCACAGAGATCAGGGCCTGCAGACCCAAAGGGCTTGGGTCCTCGCCAAGACCAAGACCAAGGCCAAGGCCAGGGTGGCTTCCATGGTGCCCTGAGTTTTGTCCCACTCATCTTGGGGAGGCCTCAGCACATCCTGGAAGAGAATGCGGCCACTGTGCTGGTTTTGCATCTTTAAGATGCTCAGGCCCTCACTCCTCTTTCCCACCAACTCGAGGAAGAAGCGGCCCCCGCCCTTGAGAGCCACATGGTCAAGGTCGAAACAGAAGCCCAGAGAGAGGTGGGTGTGGGGCCCGCGGAGGCAGGTGGCCATCTCGGTGGTGGAGTAATTCTGACGCATTTGGGAGCGCGTGGTTGTTCGGCATAAGGGGTTAAGGCAGAAAGGAAACCGGTGTGTTGGCTGGTCTGGGAGGTGGCTGTGAAGGTGGTGACTGGATGAGACCCAGGAGAGTGACTGGAGGCTGGGAGCAGGGGCGTCCCTGGGTCTGTCCCAGACCCGGGACGGCCAGGGCCCTGCTAAAATGTTCTTTGTCCTGTAAAGACGGATAAAGAGATTTGGGAACAACTGTGGCTCTACAGAACACAGCTGTAGATTCAGGACTGTCAACTCTTGGTACACGTGTTGCTGGGAGCTTAGAGCCAGTGAAGACTAGCAGGGAATGGGAAGTTGGCCGATCTGGTCATTTTTGTATGAACTCCTGAATTTAAGAAAGGACTGATGGATTGTCTTCCCTTACACTAGTGGGTGAAAAGGGGAAGATAAACAGGGAGTAGGGAGGGTATGCCTATTCTTAGAAGATACCTTTGAAGTGGAGACTGGAGACTCTGAGAGGCGATGAGAAGGTTTTCTAGCAGTTCTGAGGCACAGTCACGGAGCTGTAGGAGGAGAGCTTCCATACAGCACCATTCATCCTTGTTAGCGACCCACGTGATTAAAGGTTTGGGAAAATGCCCCTCTAAGTATCAGCTACAGGAACTGGGTTTATTTAGCTTAGAGAGAGAGAGAGGCAGAGAGCGGGCATGCTGAGGGGGACTTAATAATAGTCTCCAGGACTATGAGGGTTATTCTCTGGCTGATGGAAAGCAGCTGTTTCCTGTTTGCACGGAGGACTGGATCAGAAAGAGCGGAGTTAAACGGCAGCAAGTGGGTTTAAGAACTCCTTGGCCAGAAAGTTCGAGATGGCAAACCCGAGAGAACAGTTTCAGCATGAGGCGGCAGGGCAGCTGTCTCTCTTGGGTGGTTTCAGTTGGCTTGGTCTTGAGCTGATGAAAAGATGTAGAGGAGTCTTCACCCACGTGACGATACGAGGTTGTCCACTGTCAGAACCTATAAGGGTTTGTTCTGTGGCTGAGGAAACACCTTCTAAAGCAGTGGTTCTCAACCTTCTGGCCCTTTAAATACAGTTCCTCATGTTGTGACCCCCAACCATACAGTTATTTTCGTTGCTACTTCATCACTGTAATGTTGCTACTGTTATGAATCGTCATGTAAATATCTGATAGGCAGGATGGTCTTAGGCGACCCCTGTGAAAGGGTCATTCGACCGCCAAAGGGGTCGCGACCCACAGGTTGAGAACCGTTGTTCTAAAGGCATTTTACAAAGTAAAATATTTATATATTTATATAATTTCTTAATGTAGATTTATATTTATTTATATTTACTCATACATATATCTCATAGATAGATATCACAGATATATCAATAGATACCCTATGTAATTCCACAATGAAAACAATGTTTTGTTTTAGACAGTAGGTCTAAGTGTTAAGGATAGGAACATGAATAAGACACACTGCTAATTAGGAGCAAAGCAGATACGCAAAACATAAAATAACACATTAGAGGAGGTCAGCAAGGGGAAGGCATTTAAGGACAGGAAAATGAGTCCTGGGTATGTTAGTCCTTTTTCAGGCAGCGAGGCAGATGGAATTGCCTGAAAACTCCCCCACCATCGCTTCATCATTGTTATCCCGCGTTAGGTTAAGTCTACCATTCACTCCCAACTGGAGACGTGGTATCGTAGTGGCCCAACTGGGAGAGTTTTCAAGGCGAGGTTGGATTTCCAGAGGAAACGCTGATGTTAAGCTTTGATTTTAAGGTATAGGTTCGTGTCGGCATTAACTATCTATGCATTCCACATTTGATATTTCCACCTTGCACCAACATTTCTTATCATCTCATTAACAGTCTTTGCCTCCATCACTGCATGTTCTGTGTCGCCTGGACCAGGGCAAGGGTGACTCGTGTTGCAACCCTGACTCCCACCAGTCTCTGGTCTTCAAACTCCAGCACTGAAGTGGGAAAACCATAGGGTTGCTTCGTGTTCTCTCTACCATGATTCTCTGTGAGACACTGGGTGAGCCACTTCACCTCCTGCAGTTTAGTTTGCTTGATCTACCTGACAGCAACATTTTGAGGATTCAAAAGAAACCAAATAACTTGTGCCAAGCCCAGACCCCAGGGTGCCCAGCCCTGAAGTCCCGTTTGTTTGCTTCCTTGAATTCACAAGGAGCATCCTGCCTATGGGGAGAACCACGACTAGATTCTGTCCACATAGTGGGGTTTGTTGCACCTCAGGGGAAAGGCCTGAGGAATAGGGTTTGTCTAAAAGTCACACCAGCACCTCCAAGTCCAATTGTATGAATCTCTTTCCTTTTGTAAACTTAATTCAGAAATCAACAACCACAGGCTACTGTAAGGCCAGATACTCTAGGATGCGTCTGTTGCCAAATGACCCGAAACCAAATCACATACACAGAAGAGAAGTGCATTTTAAAAGCGATGGGAAGATAATGCATGTTTGTTTTACAAGGAGAGCAAACAAATCCTGTAGACGTTCAGATAGTCATTCAATTCCGTCTGAGGGCTGTGCTTTAAAGGGACATTAAATTGAAGACACAATCCTGGGGAAGCTTAGGAGCCTATTGGAGAGAACAGGGCCATCTGTATGCAATGACCATGGAAGAGTTAGACTCAATGTTGGGAAGGGCAGTGACAGCCACCTAGGGCTGCCCTGGCCCAGGTGCTCAGTTGGTTGGAGCGACATCCCACATGCCAAAGGCTTGACCGGTTCTATTCCTGGTCAGGGCACATACCCAGGTTGGGGGTTTGAGCCCCAGGCGGGAGGAGCTGTTTTTCTCTCACATCGTTCGTTCTTTCTCTCCCTATCTCTCCCTTCCTCTCTCTAAAATCAGTAGCAAGCATGCCCTAGCCGGTCTGGTTCAGTGGATAGAGTGTCAGCCTGTGGACTGAAAGGTCCCAGGTTCGATTCCAGTCAAGGGCATGTACCTTGGTTGTGGGCACATCCCCAGTAGGAGGTGTGCAGGAGGCAGCTGATCGATGTTTCTCTCTCATCATCGAGGTTTCTAACTCTCTATCCCTCTCCCTTCCTCTCTGTAAAAAAAAATCAGTAAAATATATTTTAAAATCAGTAAAATATATTTAAAATAAATAAATAATAAAAACAATAAAATCAGTAGCAAGCAAACAAACATAGGGCTTGAACCCCTGAGTCCTGAGGAAAGATAGGATGCAGGTCTGGGAAGAGAGTTAATACAGCGCTAGGAGATGTAGGATCTTGGTTTGATTGGTTCAGAAAAGACTATCATATAAAGACAGAATTAAAACCCCCCACAAAACCCCTAAAATGTCCGCTTCTTACAGAAATTCAAGAACGTGCTGGAGGTGCTCTTTATTGGAAATAAATGCCTCCTTCTAACTCTCAGCGTTCAGGCTGGTTTTCTTTCAGACCCTCACTATACTCCCGGCCAGACCTCTCCTGCCCAAATCCACGCTTAGCCCGCGGGATATGGAATATCTTTAGAAATCATAACAAGTCACGCTGAGAGCAAATACCCCAGCTCCAGACCGACCTCAAAAGCCAAGGCATGGCACGCTTCCTAAGGCCAGTGGGTTTCGGACCCAGGGTTAGGACCTTTCTCTGTTTAGTAGCAGATTTATAATTCAGGGGCCCACAAAGGGTGAGCAGGGGTCCTCTGAACGGGACCCCTCCCCACCTCCCCAAATGAAAGAAGTCGGGAAGCAGAATAACAAAACCATTAACTTAATAGGGTAGAATTTATGGCTGAAGTCTTGCAAAGCTTATGTCAGCAAAGCAAAATAAATACTGTCACTTTCTCTTAGACACGTGGCTTTATGGGTGCCGTCACCTTTATCATCACACCCAGCTGAGTTAGTGGCTCTGTTTCTCATGGTGGATGGCCTGGTGTTAGGCTTTCCTGCGTGTGGCCATGCGTTGGAGAGGACTTCACACGTAAAGGGTGTCCCAAAATTCAGGCAAGATTTGAATTCTGCGTGAGCATTAACAACAACAACAACAAAATTAAAAGCCTAATTTTACTTGGTTTATTGAATCATATTCTAATATCTGTTGCCCTTTGATTTCAATCCCTTCCATTTGATAAGCATCACCAAGTAGCAATGATGGCCCAGGAGCAGGGACAATGAAGATCAATGAAGACCACGGCTTTGCGTATGTGCCAGCAAAGCCGTGGAGGCCATTTACCCGATGTGCTATTCCATCCATAACCCTATACTGTATACTTTATGAATCAATAAAAAATTTACAATTTTTAATTATAAACCTGTGTCTTCTATCAAAATGACTTCTTGCATGAATTTTGGGACACCCTTCAGACAACACACTGGAATACTCCCGGCCATGCTCTCTGTATGCTAACAGCTCTTTCCCTTGCTCTTCCCGCCCCTAGATTCTCAAATCCAAGGATCTGACGTCTCCAACCCAGCGCTACATCGACAGCAAAGTGGTGAAAACAAGGGCAGAAGGGGAATGGCTTTCCTTCGACGTGACCGATGCTGTTCACGAATGGCTCCACCATAAAGGTTACACCCACCCTCTGTTTTCCTCCCTAGATGTCCAGCGACCCTAAGTTATTGCACGTTGACTGCCTATTTAAGGGCACAGACGCTCATGCAAATGACCTCCTTGACTTCATGTTTTCCAGACAGGAACCTGGGATTTAAAATAAGCTTACACTGTCCCTGCTGCACCTTTGTACCGTCCAATAATTACATCATCCCCAATAAAAGCGAGGAACTAGAAGCGAGATTTGCAGGTAACTGAAACTTGGTCATGTGAGGTGGGGGAGCGGGGAGGGCCTCTGTTGACAGTCTTGTGGGTGATGACGTCAGTGTGCAGGTGAAAGCAGGATTGTTTGGTGAGGCTTGGGGAGTGTCATTTGTTTGGGCAAAGATACAGTTGGAGAAAGATACTCCAAGGCAGAAAGGATTAGGAGAAAGGGCTTGGTTCCTAGTTGATGCTGCTCGATGCCCAGTGATGACTTAGCAATACTAACCGACTGACTCAACAAACCATTACATAGTTATTTTAAGCATTTAAGCAAACCAATTTTCCACATATGCTACTATTATCAACAAAGAAGATAGTATGTCTTTAAGGAAATCCCCCAAACCAATGTCAGGGACCGACCCTGAACTGAATTTCACGAAGAAGCAAGCCCCCTCGCTCCCCAGCCCCTTTAACTAACCTTCCATGTAAGGGAACCACTTTACTTTTTCTAGCTGGTGACCAATATTTTGAGTGTTTTCCTTATCAGACTTTTATAATAGTGCAGAAACTCATAACAGGGGGTTAATTTTCCCCAGGCTCTTGCTCACCTGGTAGAGAATTAGCCAAAGGTCAAGGAGAATGAGGAGATGCCCACAACGTAGACTTCCCCCTCCTCTCTCATCATCCAATCACGTGCCAGATGATGAGTCCCTGGATGGGGAGAGGTTGAGAGGGAAGTGGGTGCTGGCCCCTCACCACTGGGTCAAGATGCCCCTTGTCCTTCCCTAAGTGACACCACCTGGGACCTCCATCCACTGGCAGAAGGCTACAGTGGCCTCAGCTCATGGAAAAATACTCTCAGAGGTCAGCAGATTTATTTCAGCCTGTAACCTCGTCATGGTTCTCAAGGGTGTGGAGATTAAATGCTTAAACTGGCATTCTCCTGGGTGAGCTTTGGGGAGCTCGAGTTTCTGAATCTCAGATGGAATCAGGAAAGTGTGGAGGATGCCATGAGCCCAATGAAAAAGGCCTTTCTTCCCAGCTTCCCCAAATAGCATTAGGTAAGGGTGACTTCTGTTTCATTTGAACCGAATTCACTGCAATTTAGTGTAAGTCTTCGTTTCTGTTCATTAGGAAAGTGTTGAGTTGAGTACCCCCAGGAAGAGAGAGGGAACCAGAGGGTGACAAGGCAGGTTCTATTGCTGTGTGTTGGGTCATGGAGGGGTTTGAACACAACGTGAACTGAGGATTGACTCAAATTAACTGCCTGGATTGCCCTGGGACTAGAGGTCAAAGACTTCTTCTGTAGCGACTTTCATAGCCAACGAGCCCGGTCTTGGACCCTGACCTGCCTCCTAACAAGAGCCCCATTTAGAAGTGTGTGTTGTCACCTGCTTAGCCCTGTTGCGCCATATCTATTTCCGTAGGGAATGACTGTCGCCAGCTGGTGCTGACGTTGTGGTCATCACTGCTATTTGTGACTGTAGACAAACGAAAAAAAAAAAGAAATATGGCTGATGATATCTGATGAAGGTAAAGCTAAATGTTTATTACCCAAATGCATTTTTTCAAGGTATTGATGGCACCTCCACATATACCAGTGGTGATCAGAAAACTATAAAGTCCACTAGGAAAAAAAACAGTGGGAAGACCCCACATCTCCTGCTAATGTTGTTACCCTCCTACAGACTGGAGTCACAACAGTCCAACCGGCGGAAGAAGCGCGCTCTAGATGCAGCCTACTGCTTTAGGTAAAGAACTCAAAAATACAATCAAGTCATTGCGCCGGGTAATTCCTTTATTGCCTCTGCCCATTCCCTGACTACACACTGACTTGACCTGCACTCATGGCTTCGGGTCAGGTATAGAACAGTGTGGCCATTGCATTTCATAACATCATTCTTCCCACAGGCGTAGTATAGTTATTTCTGTGTTGTATTCATCATCTCTTGAGCAAGGAATGGAGTGGAAAGGGAGAAAACGAGTCCCCTGAATTCCACCCCCCACCCCACCCAATCCCTCTGAAGCAGTTTGGGGCTGAAGTAGAAAATAAGCTGGCTGCCTCCCCCTCCCCCAGAGCAAATGGAAGTTTATTTGAAGGATGTGGTGGCTCCCTGATTAGGGAGGCTCACCATCTGTAGGAGCCTCTGTCCTCGCTGCCCGTGGTCATAGCGCTTTCACATTTACAGAGATGCAAGATGTGAAAGGAGAATGCTAACTGTCTTGCCTTTAGCTACAGAATATGCGAGAAGGGAGGGCACACAGATTTATCATTCCCATGTGAGTCCACGGAGGGGGCCGGGTGGATGTTCTTCCGTGGTTTCTTACCAAGCCTGCGAAAGGGAAAACTCTTTCTCTCTTTCCAGAATGGAGCAGTGAGGGGTCCTCACTGATAAATGCTCAAAGGGTCAGAGTTCACGAGTGTCTGGGGTCACTAGGGCCAGTATTTGCATGAAATAAGACTCCATATTTCCCGACCTTTGGCTCATTCCTAGATCAAGGAACATGACATGAAATAAAGGATTTGTTTTCAAAGGAAAATGCCTTCGATGGAGCTTAGAAAAAAGCTGTTGTACTTCCTCATTTCATATTGGAAAGGGCAGTAGAGGCTGGCTGGCAACACTGTGCAGGGCTGGTTGGAAAGAGGCCGGTCTCCATCAGCCACCTCTCTGTTTATATCTAGTCATTCAAGGGAGAGGCTTGATTTTCAAGGTCACAGACACGGGGTCGGGGTATAGAGTTGAAGAGGGAAAGTCGTCCCAGCAAATCACCATCACACCCCATCGTGAAAGTCCCTTAAGATGACCATGAAACCATTAAGAGCTGGCCCATGGTTTTGCTAATAGATATATGTTGGATAAATGAATGAGTCACTTTCCTGGTTTGGAATGCAGGGCAGGAGGGAAATCTGCTTTAAAATCTCCGTTGCTCTTCCTTTAACAGAAATGTGCAGGATAATTGCTGCCTACGTCCACTTTACATTGATTTCAAGAGGGATCTTGGGTGGAAATGGATCCATGAACCCAAAGGGTACAATGCCAACTTCTGTGCTGGGGCATGCCCGTATTTATGGAGTTCAGACACTCAGCACAGTAGGGTAAGTACTTGGTTGGCTTGTCTCTTCTCTTCTTGGGTTGCAAATGTGCATCTGCTAATAACAGCTGACCCTTGAACAATGCAGGTGTTAGAGGCACTAACTTCCGATGCAGTCGAAGATGTGTAAAACTTTCGACTCCCTCAGAACCTAACGAGTCATCCCTCTGTGTCGGCAGGGTATTCATTCCAGGATCCTTCATGAATATCAAAAAATATAGAGGCTCAAGTCCTTTATATAATACTAGAGGCCTGGTGCACGAATTCGTGCATGGGTGGGTCCCTCGACCTGGCCGGCGATCAGAGCCAATCGGGGCAGACTGGCCAGGGGGGGTGGGACCACAGGAGGTTGGCTAGCCACAAGAGGTTGGCTGTGGAGTGCACTGACCACCAGGGGCAGCTCCTGTGTTGAGCATCTGCCCCCTGATGGTCAGTGCACATCATAGCTACCAGCTGGTTGTCCAATCCTAACAGTCACTTAGGCTTTTATATATATAGATGGAGTAGAACAGTGCCTACTGTCAGTCCTTTGCATCTGTGGTTGTTCGAGTCCACCAATGCAAAACCTGGGATACAGAGGGCTGACTGTATATGTATTGAAAAAAACAGATATAAGTGAACCTATGCAGTTCAAACATGTATTGGTCCAGGGCCCACTGTATTCCCAAATGAATTCTGATCGTTGTGGTGCCTACATCAGGTGATAACATTGAAAGAAAGAACACTGAGGATTCAGTAGATACTTTGGCAAAGTGAGTCACTGGCGTCTGACAATTAGAAAGTGATTTCACTTCTTTGAACCTCAATTTCTTTTTTTTTTTTAAATATATCTTTATTGATTTCAGAGAGGAAGGGAGAGGGAGAGAGATAGAAACATCAACGATGAGAGAGAATCATTGATTGGCTGCCTCTTGGACGTCCCCTGCTGGGGATCAAGCCTGCAACCTAGGCATGTGCCCTTGACCAGAATCCAACCTGGGACCCTTCAGTCCGCAGGCTGATGCTCTGTCCACTGAACCACACCAGCCAGGGCGAACCTCAATTTCTTTCTTTTTTTTTTTTTTTTTATTTATTGCTTAGAGTATTACAAAGGGTATTACATATGTGTCCATTTTATCCCCCCGCCCTAGACAGTCCCCTAGCCTCCCCTATCCCCCAGTGTCTTATGTCCATTGGTTATGCTTATATGCGAACCTCAATTTCTTATCAGCAAAAAGGAACATCTGTCTTAAAAATTAACCTTAAAAATGTCTTAATCGTTTTTGTTGAAAATATTACAGATGTCCCTTGTCCCTACTGACCCCCTCCACCCTGCACCTGCCCCCCCACACACCTTCACCACACTATTGTTAAATAAATAAATAAAAATCATGTTTCAAATAAATAATGCCAAACTGGAGAGTTGATGTGAAGGAAAGGTGACGCATGCGAAAATTATCTGAAGATTAGTATTTCTCAGTCTTTTTAAATGTGAGCCAAAGTCAGTGAGACTCTGAAAACATTATCAAGTTACTTTAATGAGGGTAGAGGCCAATTCAGAAGGCAGGTCCTAGGTTGGATGCTGGGGGCTCCCAATCCAGATGAGCAAAGAGTTTTTCTATTTAATAATGATACTTGTTCAAACGCTTCTTCTTGGTGCCTGATGAGGGGAAGGACTTCATTAGTTATCTTGTCCGAACTTGTCCCTTTTCTAAAGAAAGGGGAGCCCGGCTGGTGTGGCTCAGTGGTTGAGCTTCAACCTACGAACCAGGAGGTCACCGTTCAATTCCCAGTCAGGGCACATGCCTGGGTTGCGGGCTCCATCCCCAGTGGGGGGCATTCAGGAGGCAACCAGTCAATGATACGCTGTTCTCGTTGATGTTTCTATCCCTCCCTCTCCCTTCCTCTCTGAAACCAATAAAAATATATTTTTTAAAAAAGAAAGAGGATGTTCATGTAGGTGATGTCCCCCCAGTCAAACAGCTGGCGACAAACCGGAGCCTGGGAGGTGGACTCCTGTTTATAAGTAGGCCTCCCTGGCTCTGTCTTACAGAGTTCCATTCCTGAAATGTGGCGACCCATTGGGGTTATCCCTCTGCAAATCTCCTTATTAAAGAGGCATTAGAAAGACTGCGTTCCCTGCAGGGTAGGAAAATGAATCTACTGCCAACAAGAGCCCATAACGCAGCGGTTCTCAACCTGTGGGTCGCGACCCCTTTGGCGGTCGAACGACCCTTTCACAGGGGTCGCCTAAGACCATCCTGCCTATCAGATAGTTACATGACGATTCATGACAGTAGCAACATGACAGTGATGAAGTAGCAACGAAAATAATGTTATGGTTGGGGGTCACCACATGAGGAACTGTATTTAAAGGGCCAGAAGGTTGAGAACCACTGCCGTAATGCATTCAGCTGAGCTCATGAGTGTCGGGGTTATCAATTATGTTAGACAATCCCCATTATCCAATGCCTCTTTATTTCCTTATGAAAAATCGCGTGCTCGTGGAACATGAAGTCTATTTATTTATAAATGGCCACATATGCAAGACTTTAAGTTGACAAACTATGGCTCTCCTTCCCTCAGCTGTTTCCCCCAGCTCCCCTGGAGATTTTGGCACTTGGGGCCGGCCATGCACTTGGCCATGTGAGGGAAGCTTGCTCATGCCTGTCCCTTTGTCCAGGCTCTCTGGCCCGGCGGCTTCCTCTGGGCCGTGGCAACAGTAGCTGTAATGTGGGCAAGGCCCAGCTGCCAAGTAGAAACATAATTCCCCCTCCCAGATACACAGAGGGAGTGTGTGAAGGCAGAGACCTGCTTGTTTTTCAAGGAGAGAGGAAGAATAACTGTCGTGGTCACAAATATGTGGTTTGGACAGTTACCCAACGAGTCAGAGGTAGCTTAATAAAGTAGCCAGTGTTGCTGCGCTGAACGGATCATCTGTCCTGGGATAAAAAAAAAATTGCAGTGAATCTCGAGGAAAAGGTCACTCGCTGTTTGGCTAACACATTAATGGCATCCTTGGAAATGACTCCTTATCATCACCGGGGAACCTGCATACTGCCATTGGTAAAAGTCACATTCCCTTCTGACAGAGAACGGTGTTAGCCCTAGCCCATTTGGCTCAGTGGATAGAGTGTTGGCCTGAGGACTGGAGGTTCCCTGGTTCGATTCCGGTCAAGGGCACCACGTACCTCAGTTGCAGGCTGGATCCCTGGCCCAGTTTGGGGCCAGTTTGGGGCGTGTGTGGGAGGCAAGCAATGGATGTGTCTCTCTCACATAGATGTTTCTCCCTCTCTGTCTCTCCCCCTCCCTTCCACTCTCTCCAAAAATCAATGGAAAAATGGCCTCGGGTGAGGATCAACAAAAACAAAAGAGAAAAGAAAATTGTAAGCAAAAATAATTTGCACTGCCCTCCCATTTAGGGCTATGACTGTTACGCATTTAAAAATTAATTGGCCCTAACCGGTTTGGCTCAGTGGATAGAGCGTCGGCCTGCAGACTCAAGGGTCCCAGGTTCGATTCCAGTCAAGGGCATGGACCTGGGTTGCGGGCACACTAGGGAGTGTGCAGGAGGCAGCTGATCGATGTTGCTCTCTCATCGATGTTTCTAACTCTCTATCCTTCTCCCCTCCTCTCTGTAAAAAATCAATAAAATATATTTTAAAGAAATTAATTGCCTTTTTTTGTTGTTGTCCTTTCTCCCTGGTGCCCTCGCAGGTTCTCAGCTTATATAACACCATCAACCCGGAGGCATCGGCTTCTCCCTGCTGCGTGTCGCAGGACTTGGAACCGCTCACCATCCTCTATTACATCGGCAAGACCCCCAAGATCGAACAGCTGTCCAACATGATAGTAAAGTCTTGCAAATGCAGCTAAGATCCTTGGGAAAGCGGCAAGACGGTAACCACACGATGATGATGATGATGATGATGATGATGATGATGATTTGACCACAACATAACAAGTTTGTAACGAGAAACCCAAGAGAGCCTTGCTTCGTCAGTGTTAAAAAAATCCTTTGGAAACGCGGTACTAGTTCAGACACGTCGGAAGTGTGCGTTCTGTTTGTTAAAACTGGCATCCGAAACAAAACAAAGCAAAACAACAAAACAAAACAAAACAAAAAAAACGCGTGGAAGGCTTGATTCTACATGGCACCTACTCTGTAAGCGAGAGAGACAAGAAGCAAAACCTTTTTTTTTTTTTTTAAGGAAAAATAAATAAACACTGGAAGAATTTGTTAGTGTTAATTATGTGAAAGAAAACAAAACACACACAAAAAAAACAGGAAAATCCCGTTAAGTGGAATTGTACATACGTTCCTACCCCAGGCCTCACTTGATTTGTCTGTATTGCTATGCAATAGTCTCCCTTCCCTGTTCCTACTCTTAGAGTTAACGGTGAATTATTTATTGTGTGTTACTACATAATGGACATTTCATTGCCCTTGGAAAAGAAAACAGGTGTATCAAGTAGAGACCAAAACCCTTTGCCAGAAACTCATGGATGGTTTAAGGAACTTGAACTCCAACGAGCCAGAACAAGAAAGAAAAGGAGAAAAAAAAAAAAAGTCATAGGAGCAGGATGAAAACCCAGGTGAGTTCTTCTGTGACCACAACAAGTCTGTGTTGAGGTAAAGACCCTGAAAACACATGCTATGTCCCAAGTGCCCAAGGAAGGATCTTGTAGGTTCAAAGCCAAAAGCCTGTTAATAAAGGAAACTTTCCGTCAGAAGAAGTCTGTAAGGTTTTTTTTTTTTTTCTTCTTCTTTTTCATTGTAAATGCTTCCCTGTCAGGTGAGCCCAGCGGTGAGAGGTTGCGATGCTTTGATGCATACTGGTCAAACTTCAGACATGGAAGTCTTGCTGTATAGTTATGGTGTAGGTTCTCTTAGTTTCGGTATATGTAACCATACCTTTATTATTACCATAGATGGGTGTAGAAGCCCGTCTAATTGGAAACACATCAGCCGATTTTTTTTTTTTTTTTGCAAACTATTAAATCAAAACATTAACTACTTGGCTTGTAATGTGTAAATTTTTACCATATTTTGAATGTTCTGTAATAATGTCAACTATGATTTAGATTGGACTTAAATTTGGGCTTTTTTTTTTTTTTTTTCTTGCACGATCACTCCGAATTGTGTGTTTCCTTTAGCTGGCTAGTATTTTTTTGAGTAAAGCCCCTAGATTTTGATTTGCACTAAAAATACATGTGTTATAGTATTTGCTCCACTGCGCTTTGTACATTGTCTATTACGATAACATAAGCTACCTGACTCCCGCCTGTCCTTTTTTCTTTTGCAAAAGAAGATAGATTTGAGTTCAGTGGTCTCCCTTCATCTTCAGAGCATCACTACTCACCAGTTCAGACATGAAAAAGCTCCTGTTTTAGGAAAGCAGGGGAACAGTATAGATACAGAGACCACTGAGGTGAAATGTGTTCATTTTAGCAAGGACTCGAGGATCTGGCTGAAACCTGGTGACAGTCAAGAAAGGTTTCTCTCACTTGGTTCAATCAGAATTTCCACAGAATCCTATTGTTACTACAAAGCAGGCAGTTCACAGGAAACATCTTTGACTTTAATCTGGCTGTTGGTGTTCCGAGTGGGGGGGGGGGGATGGAAAGATTTATCTTTTCATTCATTTTTTTTGTTTGTTTTTCTTTTTATTTTTTTTATTTCTTTTTTTTTTCATTTTTTTTTTAAGGGAGAGAAAAGAAAACAGGTCAGCATAAGTCATCCAGCTTATTTCACTGAAGTCAAGATATTTAAAAAAATGTTTTTATTGATTTTAGAGAGAGAGGAAGGGAGAGGGAGAGATGGAAACATGGATGAGAGAGAAACATCTATCAGCTGCCTCCCGCATACCCCCTACTGGGGATTGGGCCCACAATCCGGGCATGTGCCCTGATTGGGAATCGAACCAGTGAGCTCTTGGTTCATGGGGTTGATGCTCAACTAACTGAGTCACACCGGCCAGGCTGAAGTTAAGATTTTTACAGATGTTCTATGAAGGTTGAGAAAGCAGAAAGCAAATTCTCCTGAGATAAAAAGTATACATTTCCCCCCTGTGAATGAAAGTTCGCTGCCATTTACTTTGCTTCAATAAATGATTTGCTACATCATTGCCAAGGAGGTCACCTCATGTCACAGTTTGTAGGACTTGGCAGTTGTCCCCTTGATCAACACGCATAGGTCATACAATGGGATATTTGCAGTTTCACCTAAACGGCGGCACCGTGAGGGTAAATCCCTAGAGAAGTTGTTTGCTATAGTCAACTTCTCTGTTTCTGGAATTTCCTACCGCTGAGGAAAGTGATGAACTGGATGGACAAGTTGGAGAACTGGAATGGTAGGAGGAGGTGGGAGGCCCCAGTAGCCAACAGCCCTAGTGGTGGATGGAACCCAGGCCCTGATTTGAGTGCCTTGATTTTTCTTCTCTTCCACTGTTCTATGAATTCTGTGTAAATCCCTTTTATTTCTGCAGGTATTTTCTTCTCAGAAATGACATTTTGTTTTGTATCATGTTGTCTTTCCTCATGAATGCACTGATTAATATTTTAAATGCTCTATTTTAAGATCTCTTGAATCTTTTTTTTTTTTTTTTTTTTAGTTTGGGGGTTCTATAACGTCTTTATTTCCCATAAGTAAATATTGCCAGGGGAGGAGAGGGAGGGGGAGGGGGGGAGAGGGGGGAAATGTTAGTATGTGGGGCGGGAGCGGGGGCGGGGCTGTTTCTATGTGTTAAGCAGCAGTACCATTTTATGGTTGACACGGTTTAAAAAAAAAATGGAATATAAGAATAGCTGTTTTGTATTTTGATGACTGATTCCGCTGTATTTTAACACGATGTATGTCTGTTTTTGTGGTGCTCTAGTGGTAAATAAATTATTTCCATTACACATGCATGTGCTTTTCCTGTTGTAGCGCCGTCACTGAGACTAGAAAATGCCTCTGAGGCCACGACAATGCTCTCAAGCTGCACATGACCCGCCCCCCCCCCCCCCCCCCCCACGATCCCCACTTCAGAAATGTCATGCTTCCTAGCTCAAGAGCCAGGCCTTATCTATCAAGCGCTGAAGAAAGCCCAGTGCAGTCTTTGGAGTCTCTTGTTTATTGCTCTCTGTAATTGTTGGAGATGTCGTTTGCATCCATCTTGACTGTCTACCAGAGAAAAATGCAGCGAGATGCTTGGGCCAGGCTTTGGCTTTCTGGTTCTGTGGTCTGCCAACCCCAGGGCCAAAAGAACTGGTCTAGACAGCATCCCCTGTAGCCCCATAACTTGGATCGCGGCTGAGCCAGCCAGATATAACAAGAGCCACGTGCTCGTTGGGGTTGGTCGTTGGGAGCTGCCACTTCTCTCTTCATTTCACCGGTACCACGGCGCCGAAAAAAAAATCCCCTTTCCACAAATTTCCTTGGCTGTTCCCCGCAAGACCAGACTTCGCAAGGGGGTTGCCAAACTCCTAATAAATAGCACTAATAAAAACAGGGATCGTGGCTCCATCTGGTTGTCTTGCTTTATCTAAGGAAAGGACGAATGTGTGCCTGTTGTCGAAACAGCACGTGGAAACAGACCGTTCAATGCAAATGTTTAGGTGGAGGGGAGAAGGGTTCCTTTTCTGCCATGTGTGTTTCTGTTTTTATACTCAACTCAGAGGGAGTGTTTCGCTTTAAAACAATTAGTTTGTGCTTCTCTGCAGAGAGCCAGCCAGAGGCCGATCATCCCGGCCCATGTCACCTTTACGTTCTGAGTGAGAAGTGGGGGGTACCAGAGGGTAGGAAAGGGGCCACCTAACAGCTGTTTCTACGTGGGCAAAGCTGCCAGCCACTCTGAGCCTCTGTGTCTTTCTCTTTAAAAGGAGGACCACCTGCCTTCCAGGGTATTTCTTGTTAAGTTGTTTTGTTGTTAAGTGAGCGGACCGATGATGATCAATAATGGTAGCCTTCACACTATTTCCCTACCTATTCTGTTTGGGGATTTATGGTAATCCTGATGCAATAAGCATCTTAAAAAAATAAGTTTTTATTGATTTCAGAGAGGAGGGGAGAGGAGAGGGAGATAGAAATATCAGTGATGAGAGAATCATCCATCAGCTGCCTCACGCATGCCCCCTATTGGGGATGGAGCCGTAACTGGGAATCGAACCTGACCTCCTGGTTCATGGGTTGACCCTCAATCACGGAACCACACCGTCTGGGCAGCCATGAGCTTTTTATATCCAGGCTGGAACCTGGGCCCAAACTTCTCCATCTTGATACTGAAGGTGTAAACCCCCCAGACCTTAATCTCATAAATGGATCAAGCCACCAGTCACCTTCTGAGAATATTCTGTTAACCCTATTTGTTAACCTTCTGGTTACAAGACTGACCCCAAATTGTGCAAAATAGTGGGGAAATGTTCATGTTATGCTTTGCTTAAACATCCACCAACTAAAATCCAAAGTAAAAGACCATGTGGCCAGTTGAATGACCTATGTCCTAAGACAATGATAATGACTGTGGTTTGCTGAGCACGTACTAGGCACTGTTCTCTGTTACTCTAGTGACCCTCCCATTTCACCCTGGGATGTAGGTTTTTTTTTTTTTTTTAAAACTCCATTTTACAGGAAGTGAGCAGACTCAGAATGATTAAATTACATGTCCTACATGTCCAAGTGCTGGGGTCGGGGGATGCTCACGGGAATGGCACCAGGTGTTAGGCTGGTGGGGTCAGGCGGGACCTGGGTTCGGCAACCTCAGTACTTGAGCTCTGGCTAGGGAAGAATTCAGAGCCAAGACCCAAACTACAAGAGAACATCTGTAATAATAAAAGTATAATATGCTAATTAGACCAGACAGCAGAACGACCTTCCTGACGTCCTTCCAGACATCCTTCTGGACAACCTTCCAGACAAACCCAGGGCTGAAAGGGCCAAGACCCTTGCACGAATTTCGTGCATCAGGCCTCTAGTTTATTTAGAAAACCACAGAGGTGGAAGGAATAATTCGTAGAAGAAATGGGCTTAGGAAACATGTTAGCAAGGCAAAGGGCTTGGAAGTGAGGAAGGTAAGGCGATGCACCAGGGAAGAGGGGCAGGGGAGAGGGAAGGGAAAGGCAGGGCCTGCTCCCAGCAGGGAGGGCTTGCTGGGTCCTCCATCCTAAGAGCTTTAAGGGTGGAGACTTTAGGGGGCTGGGGCTGGGGGTTGGGGGGGGGCGGGGGGAGTCCCAGGGGAAGATCTCAGTAGAATATTCAGCAGCTTTTCAGGTATGTCCTTTCTGGGTCTAGGTCTCCACTGATTGGTCAGCACCAGGGCAGATCCATGCAGCTGGTCCGGAGGTCAGCCCTGGGGGTTGCTTTGTCTGGTTTTGCTCCTTTTCTGAGCCTGAAGCTGAAATACACCTGAGGCCTAGATGTTATCTCTTGGGAGGAAAGGTCAGGGGGTCGTGACCAGCGATATGAAAAGTCCCGGGTCTAAACCGCATATGAGCAGCCATCTGCTAGGGGAGGAAAGGTCACCATGGGAATGAGGCCCCGCCCTACAACTGTCCGTTGCTAGGCACCTGCCCATCATCCTTGCTCTACTGTTTGTCTTTCTAACGGCCTGCCACACAAGGTCACTCGGTTTGTAAGAGGGGGTTCTAGAACTCCTTGTCCAAACCCTCGCTACTAGCCACATGTGGCCTGCAAGCAACTGAAATGTGGAATTAGGGCTAATCTGAGCTGAACTAGGCCAAGGTGTAAAATA